TGCGCACCCTGGTGGACGCGTGCAGGATTGTCACGAGAGCGTTCGCGACGGCGACTGGGAGTTGTTGCTGGAGCGCCTGTGGTCACGGGTGTTGTCGAAGGTTCGGCGAATGCGCACCCTGGTGAACGGGAGCGGGACGGGAGCGAGATCCATCGCAATGGCGACCGGGTGGAGTCGCTGGAGCTCCCGCGGTCGCCGTAAACCCGGAGCGGCACTTTGCTGCGAGGGCCTTCAATGCTGCTTGCAGCTTTAATTCTGTTTTGTGTTGTTTGCTGTGACAAAAGGTGAGCCCAGTTCATGGTTCATTGAATGTTTGCTCTTCTGGTTTATCAAAGTAAATTGAAGCAGTCTGGTTTTGTTTGACGTTAAATTGACTTATTTTTTTGTACCAGGATGTTACAACTATGTCAGCATTGATTTTAGTTTACCCAGTCAGTTATAATTTTTTTCAGCGAGTTTGCAGAGCGAACTTTGACATTCCCTCATGTCAAATAAGGATCTGACATCTGGTGTTGACCGATACAGAATGTTTGACAGTAATGTTGACCATTTGGGTGTAACTTTGATAGATAGGATTAAGGCTGCCATAACTTTTTTTTTAATCTAGTAGAGCTGTTGCCTCTCAGCCAAAAAGTTGCTGGAACAAACCCCAACTGGGGATCTTTCTAGGTGTAGTTTGCATTTTCTCTCCGTGCATTTGTGGGTTTTCTCCAGGTTTGTCTCGTTTGTTTCTTTGTGGCCCTGCGATGGACTTGCGACCTGTTCAGAGTGACCCCCGCTACCTGGAAAGGAAAGAACGGGTAAGGATGGATGGATGGATGCATGGATGGATGGATGGATGGATGGATGATGGATGGATGGATGCATGGATGGATGGATGGATGGATGGAGTTTTATAAAGGAAATTCTAAAATGTAACTGTTTGGACCTATGCAACTCAGATTTAAAACCTGTAATTGACAAACTGAACATCACAAACCAATGATGTAGCAGGCAGCACTGTAAAATATGGAAATATAATATTTTAAGCTAAGATAGATTTATATATTTTTTGTTGTTGTTTTAAATGGACTTAATAATGTGTTCACAACCAAAGGTTTATAGTAAAATTAGTTAAGATCCAAGAGCAGAAGAGCTGCAGTGGTAGCAGTAGACTGTAAACCAACACTGTATAAAACATTTGGACATTTTTCCTTTTTGTTTAAAGATCCTCAGCTTTGGATTAGTTCACCAAGAGCAATAAAATTGTTAACTGATGTTGGAGTCTATTGCTTAGGTGGAACAGTAGCTGAAGCAATAACAAATAAGAGCAAGGACATACATGATGAGCCTCCACAACTGAACTGTTTTTTTTTTTTTTTTAACTTCACTTTTTCTTGTTTCTCCTGTTTTTATTTATTCATATTAATAGTGGGTGTAGGTGCGTGTGTCTTGGTTTTGTTGTTGCTTTTAGGCCTGTGTGTTTTGTTTGTATTAGTAGTTGTAGGGATTTTATTTATTTTTTTGTTTTATTGAAAAGAAAAAAAAAAAGTAACCAGGGCTGTGTACAAATTAATCTTTGGTTTGAAGGCACCTAGACAAACCAAAGGTTGCAATTAAACATTTTAAATGAAATGTGAATACAGTGAGGGAATACTTTTTGTCTGTCTAAACATGTCTCACTTGTAAATGAGTCCCCAAAGCTCAATGTGATTAACCGGTCTAAATAAAGATTAAATGAAAGAAAATTATCGCGGGGGTTACGTTCCAGAGACCCCTGCGGCAGGTGAAAATCTGCAAAGTAGCAGTGTTAAGACTTTATAAACCCTTCCCACACTCTTATTAACCTTTCCCACTATCTTATAAACACTTTAGGGTTTTCCCTAACTTTATACAAGCAGGGCACCCCGCCTTGTCAACAGAACCGAACAACGCGTCCCACCCCCCTGTCGGCACTGACGTAGCGCTAAGCTAGCAGCGTGCAATATAGGCATGATAGCTCAAAAGCTAAAGGTTAACGCTGCCTCCTCCCTCATGCTGAAAACACCCTGCTCGAAATCTGTTGGTACAAACAGCACGCAGCTGACGTGTCTCCGTGTCCCCCCCCCCCCGACAAAAATCACAGACGTGATGAGATATGAGGGCCCCGCCATGCCAACTTATCTAGGGGAAACACTGCAGTTCATATGCTCTTAAACACTTTAGCGATCGCTATGACGATGAGATGAATGTACAGTAGTGCACAGCATGTACAGTACACACAATATTAAACTGGGTTTAAAAAACACGCAATATAGTGAGGGACTACTGTAAATAAATTTACTAAAGCTACTCACCTCCTAAGACCTTTAACTAAGGCCCTGTTTACATGATGGAGTGGAAGTTTGTCGTAACTCCCAGCATTATTTCACAAGAAAGCACAATTTACCTGAAAGCAGAAGTGTTTGCACAAGTGTTACAGTTAGTCCGTAGTCTACACTTACCTAAATCTTTGTAGATTTGTAATTTAAAGTATCGTGCATCAGCACCCTAACTTAATTGCCTGTCCCAGTTCAGTTTGTGTATTCGGCATTTTGGATGTAGCTGTAACGTAAAACTAACTTTACCGCGGTCTGTTCTTTTGCTTGACACTGAAGCATTTGCACGTGTTAAAATGCAAAAATCACTCTGCTGGTTTTTGACCCGTTATGTAAACTATAGTGGGTTCAATGTCTTTCACGGTCTTCTCTAAACAGTGATTGCAATCATAGCATTACTGTATGAACATGTAACATTTTTACAATCAACATGTTTCAGAATTTTTTTTACATCTTAACTTGGCCTAATAGAAGTACAAAATGAGGAGCAGTTAGTCTACGTTACAGAATTATTTTAAATCACAGCACACGTCTTTGTTCCATCTACTCGGCCAATCAGGGGCTGTACCACTACTGTTCCAGTCTGGATTGCACCCCCTCCCCCAGCTCTGTTTCTCTGTCACCCAGCCTTCCCCTCTTCCTTTTGGCTTATGCTGTTTTCGGGCTTGTACAGGATGTTACTCCTTTGCTTAATGTAGCTTAAAACATTGAATGGATTGGGGAAAAAAGAACTGAGTGGAATTTTAAATGAATAGTTGAGAGGTCTGAGATGGAAAGGCATTCGGGTTCTTTGTGCAGAAATCCTCATGTGAGTCAAATGGCTTTTTTTTTCACCTTCCTCCTGTTACTCTTAATTTATATTTTGTCCTCTAATGTTTAGTCATTCTTAATGTTGCTAATTATCTTTTTATGTTGTAGTTTTGGTCTGTCCAATTGGTTTAACTGCTGTGTCATCCCTGCCTTCGCTCCTTGCATGCGTCCCTGCCCCCATACAGTAAGGCTGGCTGCTGACGCTGTCTTGTGATGTCGGCACTGCTCAGACCTGGCATTTAAATCCATCCTTTATCAAATTGCAATTGGATAGCACTAAATACAGGTTGATTGGCCTCAATGTGCATTAAAGATGTTTTCATTCAGACCACCTTCAGAGGTGGCCTGTACCTCTTTTTATGTGCATTTTATTCCTTCTATCTATTTGATAGTTTGAACCATCTACTTTTTTATATTATAGGCCAAAAGTCCAGGCCTTTTTTCAATGTTTGGAATTTAAGCCAGTCTGGCATATGGGAGCTGCCATATTGTATTTTTGGAAGAAGAGTCCGCGTACAAGGGATGTGAGGCTTTAAAGTGCTTGTAATAAATAATAAATTTTTGAAACGATAATGTTAATAACATATTGAAAATAATAATAATTTAGACCACTGAGATGAGCAGTTGTTGAGATATTTGTGTGCGCAATAACATCAAGTGATGACAACGGGAATGCCTGTATGCAAACAAAATATTGCACAATGGCTAACACAGACTGTTGTAAACAATCAGTTTCTTTAGATTATTTTGAGTCGCTATCAGAGAGACGAAGAAGAGTCAGAGTTCAAATGGTACTGTTTCAATAAACAAGACCAGGGAATTCCCTTTTTTAAATAATTCCTCTTTGATGTCACTTCCTGTTACACTTTGGCTGCACAGAGTTCAAAATAAAATGAGCCAATTAAGTGACGAAATGGAAAAATCCAGTGTATTATGCCAAACTTCTTAAATATTCACATGATTTCTTTCATTTTTTTGTATTTTTGGAGATTCATGTCACATGAATTTGAAGTCTGTGTACTCACCCACACTCGTTAATGGTGTCAAATGATTTATAGGAATTTAAATAATTAATTACAGCTAAACATACGACATGAATATTTGAGCATACAACAGCAATGTAAGAACTATGTGAATCAATGAGTCCACACCTAAAAATCTATCTGGAGTGGACAATGTTCTGTTTCTTTACATAGAGGGGGTGAGACCTAAAACATGTACTTGCACCAGTGCAAATGGGTCTGGTTGCAGGTTGCTTCTGGTTGGTCTATAAATACAAATAAATTCAGTCATTTAAACTAAATGTTCTGCTGTTACCACCATACACTGTAGTTCAGATTTACCAAAGTCTCATTTTTGTGGAGTTATAAAAGAGAAACAAGTTCAAGTTATTAAGTTTGTTTATGGACAATTAAATAAACATGAAACATTTTTAAAACGCTTCCACGTGACTTAAAACTGTCCAGGAACTGCAACAAAATTTGATTATTTGATGTATTAAGCTTTTTTTTGTGCTGCTCTATTCAATGCAATGTTGCTCATCAACCTTGTCTGTTTGTTGATGTAATACAATAGATGAAGACTTTGCTGTAGTTAAGCAATTGGTATGTCCAACACAAACCTGACAATTCAAAGTTTGGCTTTTTTATATGAAAATATGAGGATAACTTAGCACGTTTTATTTAAAATTATCTAATTTTTTCATGTTGAAGATAAGTGTGACCCTGATTTGTGACCTTCAATTTGCCGTGTAAAACACTATTTTACTGCTCACCACCTCCTAAAATGTATCACGCTGTTTATTTAACCCTTATAGCATTTTTAGTTTAATTTTGTTTTGTTTTCATTCTTCAGACCCTGAATACTTGGAAGACACAAGTGAGTATGTCCTTCAGATACATTTAAAAAAAACAAAAACAAATCTAAACTGGACCTAATTTTCAATGTATTTTATTTTTTGTAGGAGTTGTACTTTCTGAAAATGCACAGAATCAGAGAAAAAATGAATGAAGAAAAAATGGAAGGACTGAATCAGGTGACTCATAGTGTGACATCATTGAAAGAAAAATAAATTGTTTACTGCTACTACCATTGTCTGGTAGACTTGGCAAAGTTACTGTTTTGGGCATGTTATTTTAACTTTATTTGTATTTTTTCCTTTTAATGTTGTAGGTTATGAATGTCATTTAAAACCTCAATTCTGAAAAATCTAGGATGTTTACTTATCCCTGATAGAAATAAATGATCATTCAAAATGTGTAAAAAGAAATAACTCAAAAATGTGCAAACCTCATAAATCCACATTTTATTCACAGTAAAACAAACATGTCACTATTTAAACTAAAAGTGGATTTATTTATTTATTTTTAATTAAGTTTGAGTCTGGCACAAACACGGCTGAAGAAAGTTCATAGGGCCTCTCTTAACGCTGTGAAGCATTTCCTTCTTTTAACAACAGTTTCTAAAATGTGTACGAACTAATGGGACCAGTTGTTGGAGTTTTGGGAGAAAATGTCCCATTCTTGTCTGGTGTTGGATTCCAGATGTTCAACAGTGCTGGGTCTTTGCCAGATACTTGTTTCATGAAGCATCAAATGTTTGCTGTTGGTGAGAGGTCTGGACTGCAGGCAGGTCAGTTCAGCACCAGGACTCCTCTGCAGTGAACCCATACTGTTGTAATGGATGCAGTACGTTTAGCATTTTCTTGCTGAAATTTGCAAGGCTTTCTTTCCATGCAAAAGCACTGATTATTCTTTCTATAGATCTAGTAGAGTGCTGTATGAATGGGTAAATGAGGGCACAGATTGTAGTGTAAAGTGCTTTGACTGTCTTGATAAGATAGAAAGATGTTATATAAGTACAGTCCATTTACCTTTTTAATGCATTGCTGTTCAAGTCCCCAAAAAGTATGGACATCTAACTTTGACCTTTGGCTCTGCGATTTGCACAGAGATTTTTCCAGATTCAACATTTTTCAGTCAGGTCATCTGGACAGTTTCTTTTTTTTGTGCTGAAACGTTTCACCTTCGATCCGGAAGGCTTCATTAGTTAGAGAAACACACAACACAAAACTGATTCTTCCCCCAACAGCTTACTTCAAAGTGGAACAAACCAGTTATGTTGGTGCACCAATTTTGGAATTTTTCCACTATGTTTGGACACATTTTTTTATAGACTGATTAACCTTTACTCATCAGTACTTCAAAGAGGTTCATCTTCTCTATAATCTTTTTTTATATCCAGTCCTGTCATTGGTTTGTTACCAATTAACATAATTATGTAATTGCAAAATGCTCCTCCAGCTGTTTCTTATTCAACTTGCTTATTTGTACAGCCTGCAGTTGACTACACGTTTTATAGATGTGTTGCTGCCCTAAAATACAAAATTACCATTTATTTTTCTTAAAATGGAAGTTTATAGTTTTAAACATTTTGATTTACTATTGTCCATTGTGAATGAAATATGGGTTTATGAAATTTGCAAATCATTTTGTTTTGTTGTGCATTTTGCTATACTTGTAATATTAAGAAATTAGCTTTAGCATGTATAGATTTTATAGAGGATGATTATTTATTTGCATACACATTCTAATGTAAGTTTCTGTATGTTTTCACATGGTGATAACAAATCTTTATACTTTATTGGTGAAGGGTAAGAAGAAGCTGAGAGTGTGTGTGGCAACGTGCAACAGAGCAGATTACTCCAAGTTAGCCCCCATCATGTTTGGGTTAAAATCTCATCCAGATGAGTTTGAACTGGAAGTTGTGGTGCTTGGTTCCCATCTCATTGATGACTATGGGTAAGATCAGCTGGCTTTCTCAGCAAAGTCATAAAACATTGAACTTTGCACTTGCTCCTATAGTTTACATTTGTTTTTAACATAAACATCTGCACCTTGAAAAAAAACCCAACATTTAGATGTTTATATCCCATTTCCTGCTCTCTAGAAACACTTATCGCATGATTGAGCAGGATGATTTTGACATTGGCTCCAAGCTCCACACCATTGTTAGAGGAGAAGATGAAGCGGCTATGGTGGAGAGCGTTGGGCTGGCATTGGTGAAACTCCCTGATGTCCTACAGAGACTGCACCCTGACATCTTGGTGGTACATGGCGATCGTTTTGATGCTCTTGCGCTGGCAACCGCTGCAGCGCTGATGAATATCAGAATATTTCATTTGGAGGGAGGAGAGGTCAGAAAGCTTCTTTGTTGAGTAAATCATTTGTTTCAGGTTGTGTCGTGCATGCGTTGTACGCTTTCTATGAATTTTCAGAGTATTTATGGTGAAGTTACACCAAGAATCTTTTTTTTTTTCTCATTTATTTCGTGCTCTTTACAGGTTAGCGGAACAATTGATGATTCAATCCGCCATGCGATCAGTAAACTGGCCCATTACCATGCCTGCTGCACACGTATGGCCGAGCAGCACCTCATTGCAATGTGTGAGGACCACTCTCGCATCCTCTTGGCCGGCTGTCCCTCATACGATAAGCTGCTGTCAAGTCAACACAGAGAGGACTACATGGATATCATCCGAAGCTGGATAGGTATGCCCAAAAAATATCTGTAAAATATGATTTGTGCGTATTATGTATGCATGCATGGATGGTATGGCATACGGATGCGCAGTATTATCGGCATGGTATCGGCTGAGCGGGACAAAAAGTGTGTGTGCTGGGTGAGTGAGGTCCTTCATGATGCAGGTGGCCCTCTTCCTGCATCTGGAGGTGTAAATGTCTGTGATAGTGGGGAGGCTGACTCCAACAGACTTTGGTGTAGTCTTCACAACTCTCTACAAAGCTTTTCTTTCTGCAGTTTGACATTAAACATAATCCAAGTTGAAGTGTTACATCATTTTCAGCCCCCTTTTTGGCATCTGCATTTGGTAGCAGGCCAAACTAACAAAGACCATGCAGAATAATGTAGCATTTTAATTCCACAGCAGAGAAAGCTATATAGTCTCTGTAAGTAGGTCTAGGAAAAAAGTCTGTATTGTTATCGGTTATCAGTCGAATAAGTTTTAACATATCGGCTATCGGCCAAAAATCCAATATTGTGCATCGCTAGGATGGTATGATATTGTATGCATATAGGTAGGTTGGTGGGCAGGTGGACAACATTTTTATTACTACTTTTAACTACTATCTGTTTAAGACAGTAGGTCATGTATGATGTTTTCTGTTCCTTTTCTAGGTGACACTGTACAGAACAATGACTATATTGTGGCGTTGCAGCATCCTGTCACCACAGACATCCAGCACTCCATAAAGCTCTATGGACTAATGTTGGATGCACTAATCTCCTTCAACAAGAAGACACTCATTCTATTTCCTAACATTGATGCAGGTTAGAGATACTTCCATGGCCTTGCAAAAGTATTCATCAATCTTTGTAATCTGTCTACTTATTTACCAGCCTAGAATTGAAGATTAATTGTTTTTTTTTATTTGATTAAAATCAATAAGCAATAAATGGTTCATGGATTCAACACCTAAACTTAATTGGATATTCCCAATTATGCTGAAGAGCAGCCCAGGTCCACCAGGATTCTTTGGATTCCTGGATTTTTCTTTGATTAATGCTCTCCTTACGTAAGTTTTGGTGGCTAAGATTCTCTTTTAGCAGGTTTTTTTGGGATGACATAATCTTTCCATTTTCAAATATTAGATTTGTTGGTACTTTGTGGAATGTTCAGAATATTTTTGTATCCCAACTCTGATCTGTACTTCTCCACAACTTTCTTTGTCCTGTGTGGATAGTTCCTTGGTCTTCATGGTGTCTCTTGCTTGGTAGTAGGACTTACTACTTAAAGCTGTTGAGCAGGTGTTGATCCTGTGGCCTGTTACAACAAGTGTAAATCATGTAACAGGTTTAGAAAAAAATGCTCGGAGCTCATTAACAAATTAAGTGGCTTTTGTCAAGTTTTGTGAAGTTATGATTGAGTTAATAAGCAGAAGCTCTATACATATGCACACACCATAAGTTGTATGTTTTTTTTAATTATTTAAAAACATTTGTCCTAATTTAGCTTAATTATGAAGTATTTTTATAGAATAATTGCCTTTATGTTGTGGGGCAACAAAACAAACAAAAACAAATTACCAAAAGGGGTGAATAATTTATCACTGCATTGAACTTGTTCTTTAGATTTTACTTTTATGTCTTTGGTTTTTTTTTATTTTTTATACACATTTTTTTAATAATCAAACCTATTTTAATACCCTCTGGAATTGTTCAGAGACTTCAGGCATATTTAATAACATATGTGTTGCTGCCTCTAGCTCCCGGTGACTACCTTCTCTTTACAGGGAGCAAAGAGATGGTCCGTGTCATGAGAAAGAAGGGCATTGAGCAGCATCCAAACTTCAGGGCAATAAAGCACATTCCTTTTGAGCAGTTCATCCAGCTCGTTTGTCACGCTGGCTGCATGATTGGAAACAGCAGCTGTGGAGTGCGTGAGGCTGGTGCTTTTGGCACACCTGTCGTTAACCTGGGAACCAGACAAACCGGCAGAGAAACTGGTAGGTTTCATCTGAGGCTATGAATGTCCTCTTTGTTTAATATAAAGGCAGTTTCTTAGTTTACCCAAGCACATTTTAGAGTGCTGTAACAAAAATAGTCTTTAGGACTGAACTAAATGCTAAAACAATCTTTTCTGTATGTATAAATCTTGATCATAAAATTCTGTCACCTTGTCAGTGCGTATAAAATTAGCTAAATCATTTAAAATTGCACACTTTTCTGTTTTAATTATTGCCCACCTCCGTAAAAGATGATGTGTGTGTGTGTGTGTGTCCGTGTCTGTCTCGCCAACAAAATATCTCAAGAACCACTAATAACTTATGATGACTTGGTGACCAGAGCAAAAATACTCCACTGATGTTAATGGCTGGCAGAGAGATTATAGTGAATAATGACCAAAAAGTTATTAGTGTGGATGTAAAATTGAATTCTCTTTGGAATAGCAAGCACTGTCCACATTGTTCTGCTATTCATTTAATATTATTAATTGCTTTGTAGTTACTAACCACACAATCGGCTCTTTCAACTATATAAACAAATTAATAAAAAACTGTCTGCCACTTAGTCTAAAAACATTTTTTAATTTTATTAATACTACCAGCTGCCATCTATTATTTTGCTCAAAACAATTTGTTGTTCAACAATTTATATAATTTTTATTATGTAGATGAACAGATGCTGGGATATATTCATCATTTAACGCGGGTTCCTCATTTTTCTGGACTGAATAAAACGTGCATTGAATTTAAGGAAATGCAAACGTGAGACGTCATTTAGATTTGACCCATCAAAATGAATGCGGTCATTTATTTACAGAATCAAATTTAACATCAAACATGTACATTAATTTGGCAAATTATGAAAATAACAACAAAGCAATCAATCAGGAAAAATCATACGGCCATGATTTTTCCGTTGCTGCACCAAAGACATTTATGAAAACTGTACAACTATGATCTTTTGCCCACATGAATGTGGGTGAGCATTTTACACAGACATTTCTAAATATCTGGAAGAATTTCTACTTGATAGAAAAGTTTAAAGATGGAAAGAAGTTTAGAGGGAGTTAAGATGGTATGTGAGGGAAATTAAGTGTTCACCAGAATCGACACTCTCCGGCTTTCTTCAGCTTTTCCTTACAGTACACTTAGGTGATGAAATCGGCTCCTTTACCTGGAGATGTCTCAGGTGAGATTCCGTTTAACGCACCCTTTCAGCGTCTCAGTAGGATGCTGTTACTCGTCCGAAGTAATGGCGAGGCTCTGTTCGACACATATTCACCTCAGTGGAAAATGTTATAATCCCATGGAACTCGGGAGAGCTTTGTTGTCATGTCAGGAACTCCAACAGCACTCCATCAGAACTCAGCAGAACTTGAGTAGACTCTCACCGAACTCTACGCTCTCAGAACTCTTAGAACTCCGACAACTCTCTGAGTAGTCCAGGAAGTACTGACATTTTAAAGACTCTTTCCCGGTTCACTTTTTGGGATTTGTTCATTGGTCAGAAACGACCAGACGGGGTGTGTTTTGTGACGTAAGAGGTTAGAGGCAGCGAGAATTGTTATGAGACAGATCAGAAATGTTCTCACAGACAGAGAGAGTTTTGTTTTGGCGTGTTTCAAGAAACAGGTGCAAAACATCTCTACTTACGTCTGAGAGGATTCTAAAACATGACAGTTTTAACATAACAACTTGTTTTTCGTTTGACTGTAACCTTGTAAACGCACACACTTGCTCATTCAAAAGCAGAAATCAGAAAAATGCATAATTACTCTGTAACAGCTTTTAACATGAGTTCTAACTGCATGAGAATAAAAATCATTACTCAGTTAATAAAATTGATTAGTTCACTGCAACATCTAAAATGGTTTGAACTAAGACACTTTGATTATCAACATTTGTAAGATAGTAATGATAATAAAAAGAGAGTGTTCTTTTCACTTGAATCTTCAAGAAAGAAAGTCTCAGGATGGGTGAACCTGTATTTATGTATTCAAATACATGAAATGACAGTTCCTGTCCCACAAGGTTCTAAAGGTCAAGAGTTTTGACCTTAGACTTGGTTTCGACGTAGGCCTAGTCCACTACAATTACCATTAACAGTATGGTATGAAACGTTCATTATCTGGACTGACTGTATTTAGATGCCCGTTTCCAGGTACAACAAAATAAATACTGTATTTTGTGTAGACAGTCTGTCTCTGTCTGCACTGTGGCCCTCTATAGATGATTAATATGATACACCAGAGGGAGAATCAAGCATTTAATTTCCAAGAACATTTTAGGTTGTTACTAGAATTAGCTAGGCGGTGACTTTCTGTTAAAACAAAGTACGGTAGTTCAAATGTAGGTGTGGTATTTGAACAGCGTTTGTAGAAATGTCCTACGTGCCTCTGAACATCAATAAAATAAGACTGGGGTGGTGTTGGCTCACTGTGCTGTATACAGTTCACAGTAACAGATGTTAACGTTTAGACTACAAAGTATTCCCGGGTGTCACTGCATCCTTAAAAAAAATCTTTAATTCATGTATCTAAAATTAAAGCCTTAAAATTTCTTAATTCATTAAAAAAAACCTGCAATTTGGTCTTAAATATGTTACTCAAATGTCTTGAAATTGGTCAGGACAGGAGGGATTAACATTTTCTGTCATTTGTAAAAATGGGGGGGGGACATGTTTAGAGCCATCCAAACTAATGATGATAGAAGGATTAAACTGAAGCTGCTTTCAACAAATAAGCAGGACCAGAGTCACAGTTTTACCCAATCAGAGCAGAGCAGGTCGTGTTGTCTGATACACGAGTCCAGAGACAGACTCGGTAAACCTGTCTCTTCCTTTAGAATGCTGTTGGACTTGATGGTGACGTTTAAAAGTCTTCTTATAACTTCAGTTCTTCACTAGAGAACATTACATTACACTGTGTATCCTGATGCATGCTCAATAATCCAGGTAGAAAAAATCTAAAAAAGTTAAATCTGGTCCTCTGGACATTCAAAAAAACAAAACGAAACAAAAAAAACTGTGTACTTTTACTAAGGTCATAACACAGTATGCAGTAATGCTTTTTTCCTGAAAATCTTTGGGAATTCATTTCAATTTTCAATTCAATTTATTTGTATAGCGCCAAGTCACAACAGAAGTCATCTCAGGGCACTGAACAGAAACATCCATACATAAAAATAATAATTTAACATTATTTATCTCAGGAGCAGACTGCTTTGAATTTAACTCCATCACAGAACTCTCATCTTGAGCAAGCATGAAGGTGACAGTGGAAAGAAAAAACTCCCTCATGAGGAAGAAACCTTTAGCAGAACCAGGCTCAAGACAAGCGGACATCTGCTTCGACCGGCTGGGTTTGAGAGGAACAGATACACAATGGCAGGTCAGGAATCACATGTTAAGATAGAAATAGTGTCAAATGAAAACTAACCTCCAGTAATCTAAGCTTAAGGCAGCATAACAAGCCAACCCTATTTATGATTTATCAAAATAGAAGGTCTTAAGCCCAGTCTAAAACTGGACAATGTGTCAGCCTCATGGACAGAAACTGGAAGTTGGTTCCACAAGAGAGGAGCCTGATAACTGAACGATCTTCCTCCCATTCTGCTTTTGGAAACTCTAGGGGACCACAAGTAAGCCTGCAGTCTGAGAGCGGAGTGCTCTGTTAGGAAAATATGAAACAATAAGATCTCAAATATAAGATGGAGCTAGGTTGTTGAGAGCTTTGTAGGTTAGAAGTAAGATTTTGAATTCACTTCTGGATTTGACAGGGAGCCAATGGAGAGAAGCTAAAACTGGAGAGATATGATCTCTCCCACTAACTCCAGTCAAGACTCTGGCAGCAGCATTTTGGATTAACTGAAGACGTTTTAAAGAAGTATTTGGACACACAGATTATAAACCATTGCAATAGTCCAGTCTAGACGTGACAAATGCATGGACCAGTTTTTCTGCATCATTTTTAAATAAGGTGTTTCTAATTTTAGTCATATTACGCAGGTGGAAGAAGGCGGTTCTACGGTAGTAACGTTTTTAATGTTGGGGTTTAAAGACATGTCTGAACAAAAATAACACCAAGATTTTTAACAAGTGACTTGTATGCATGAGTAAGCTCATGGATGTGTGGGATTGGTTTGTGTGTGTGTGTGTGTGGGGGGGGGGGGGGCTGTTAATGCTTAGGTAACCTCTAGGTGTAAAAATGTTTCAGTCAAAATAATTTTTTTCTATGTTAATCCTTATTTAATCTCTTGTTGTTGTTGTTTGTTTTATATATCTCACTGGACTTTTCTGTCGGGCAAAAGTTTTGCATTGAGTCACGCAGACTTCTTCCCTGTGTTCTGAACTTGCATTTTCTTTTATACAGTCTATGGTTTAAGCCAGTGGTTCCCAACCCTGGTCCTTGAGGAACCCCATCCTGCATGCTTTACTTGTTTCCCTGTTTTAACTCACCTGATTTGAATGAATGGGTGATTAATCGGCTTCTGCAGAACTTAAGGAAATAATTAATTCACTGAATCAGGCGTGTTGGAGGAGAAAACGGCTGAAACATGCAGGATGGTGTTCCTCAGGGACCAGGGTTGGTGACTCAAGGTGAATGAGGCTACTTTCTTCTTGCTGCAAATACAAACGTTTGCTATTCTGTGACTAAATCATGCGTTGGTGCAAATCTGTCGACAGTTCATTGGACAACGTCTTTGTGTATAAAGGCAAAACTGGAGATTAAGACATGATCCTCATGCCATGAATGTATTCAGTAGAAATGTCTTTTATTGTTGGATGTTTCCAACCAAAACACTGCACTTGTACATACAGCTCTGAATATCACTTTATGTTCAATTAACTGACAAAAACTACACATGCTACTGTATATGCTTGGTTGCAATACATCAGGAAACCCCCCAACCATAACCTATGTTTATAGTTGTTTTTATTTTGGGTCTAAAATTTCATTCAAGGTGGCATTAAAAAGGTTTTAAAAAGTCTTAAATTTGACTTGTGGAAACCTGCAGGTACCCTGGTATACAGTTAGCTCAAACAGTACTTTCCTGTCAAAAAGAAGCATTCATTTTGATACAAAATCATTTACGCAGCACTGGTTTCTACTCAAACAGGTTGTTGACTCTGGCACTGGTTCCACAGAAAATTCCTGCGGTTTATAATGATCATGCATTGTTGTCTCAGTTTTGTTTTTATTTGCCCAGCCCCACCTCAATAGCAAAATTCCATCTAACCACCAAGTTAGATTTTCTTACATCAGTCCAACTGTTTGTATATTTTTGCCTGAGATGTTTTGAATAATTGCAGCAACATTTCTGTTTGTCAGGTGAGAATGTGTTGCACGTCAGAGATGCTGACACGCACAATAAGATCTATCATGCACTGGAGCTACAGTTCGGAAAGAGATATCCCTGGTATGTTCTAGCTTTTGTTCTTCACTTTTTCATTTTGAGATTCCCTTTTAACTTATTTTTTATTATAATTGTGAGTTACTGATTGTGATTTATTGAAGCATTCAAGAGGCAGACCACAACAAAATCTTAAAACTTTGCCGGAGTAAAAATTGGGATTATTTTCTTGATGATCTGATAAATTCTTAAACTAAGTAACTGTAAATCTTAAAGTAATTTTGCAGTTTGCACAGTATTTTATGGCTCTCAAGGTGCCCGTCTCATTTGGAATGCTCATTAAAAGTCCCACACTATAATCACTTGCAAATGTGTGTTTGCATCATACACAAGGAAAGAGCATAACATTGAAGGAGGCCAGATTGGTGACAGAGAAACTTACACAATACAACTGTCATATATCTTAACCATGATCATGTTTGTGTGCTACACTTAAAAATCTGCTTATGTGTTGTGAGCTTTGAAACACAGAATTTTGTGAATGACTATTGTTTGTTTCTAACCAGCTCTAAAATTTATGGCGATGGAAATGCGGTGGCGCGTATTCTGAAGTTTCTGCGAACTGTTGACCTGGACGAGCCCCTGCAGAAGACCTTCTGCTTCCCTCCTGTGAAGGACTCCATCTCTCAAGACATCGATCATATCCTGGAGACCCAAAGTGCTCTATCTGTTGATCTGGGAGGAACCAACCTCCGTGTGGCAATTATTTGCATGAAGGTTGGTTTACATAAACGATTAAATATTCTGACCAGAATATTTATTTTTACGCTGTTTCTTGTGATTTTTACTATTGCCTTTGCTTGTGTTTTTGTCTTTTTGTGTTTGCAAAATACCCCCATGAACATGGATGGACATCTACAACTTTTGAATTCAGCCTGATTCTAGATAGTTGCCACAACTGATTGACTTTAAAAAATATAAAAATGGCTATAACTCAGTCAGTTTTACAGATATTGAGCTGGACTTTTAATGTCGTATTAGCTCAAAGTAATCTCCAACAAATGCTAACAAATCATCACTTTTAATAAAACTTAGGCAATGATTGTTGGATTTTGATTAAAGTAATTTTTATATTTTTGTATACAATCAGTAACATTTGTAGTTAACTCAGTTCAAAGACGATTGACCTTAGCAGACACTAAAACCACTTAACTCAATCCTACGAATACTGAGATAAAATCTGGTGTTGTGGTAGCTGAGAGGGATCCCAACACGCATTCCTAGTGCGATCGTGCAGCGTTGCTTTACATTTAGCGCACAATTGGAGCGTTGTCATTGTCGTACAGGCGTGTTCAACTTGAGCATGTGACCAAACTCCTGGTCCTTGAGAGAGTGAGTGCTGCTGCAGGACCACACACAGCCTGTTTGAATCTCTTTGTGAGACGGGCAGTTTCTGGGTCTTTATTTCTTAGAGTTAAACAACACTATAACTAAAAGATGCCCCAGATCATAGCAATGATGCGTGTCTCCGTTTATAACTTTATCGTTTCCCCCAAAACTCCCAACGTTCCCTCTGTGAGAGTGGCAGTTTCATGCGTTTGTAGTTCATCATAAATAAATGCGAGATTCAATTCTATATGGTATCATAGCAGTAGGTGTTTTGGCTGTATGGATGTTCGAAGCTTGTTTGTATTTGAAAACCATAATGAGAGGTAACTATACTGTGATACAAACTGACGTGGAAACATCACATAAATTATGTAAGAATAAAAACGGCTAAATCTATTGCAGTACTGTACAAAGTAAGGGAGTTCTTAAATGATAAAGCTCTGTATATGTTGTATAACGTAATCATTGTTCCACACTTAATCTGTTGTAGTGATGTTTGGGGGAAGCGTGCAAAACAATTATAAATCCTATTTTTGTTTTCCAGAAAAGAGCTGTAAGAATTATTACTAGAAAGCATTTGTCACCCTTCAAGTACTTTATTTTATCAACTGAAGTTGAAGTCCCATGATTTGGTAGATTATAGTATTTTATCAGTTATGTATATATGTATTACCTTTAAATATCCAGTTAAATTTTGTTAAAAGAGAGAGTTGTTATAATCTTAAGGGGATAGAGATATTTGTTAAAACTAAATTTAGAACTAGTTTGAAGGGACGGTCTACTTCAATCCAAGGAATTAAATTATGGAATAATCTGAAGAGTGATGTTAAAAATGCCGGATCAATGTGTATGTTTGAGAATGATCAAAGTTGGTTTGTTAAAAAAAATATGAAAAAGCTTAATGTGTATTTATATGACTTGTTGCTCGAGAAGGAGTTATTTTGTTTTTATTATTTGAAGATTATTATTGTTTGAATTATTTTTTTGGAAAAGGGCAGATATTATAAGATTGTTTTTTTCTTCTTTCTGCTGCCTTTCATTTTATTTGTGATTGTATTTCTTATTGCATATAGAATGTATGCATACTGTGAGAACCGATCAACAGAGGATGCAATCTCCTCTGTGGTCCACACTGCGCTCAACCACCTGGAGCAGAAAAACTCTTACGTCCGTATGCTTTTTGTGGACTTCACATCCGCCTTCAACACCATGATCCCCCAAACCCTGATGGACAAACTATCCACACTAGGACTAAGCCCCTCCATTTGCAACTGGGTACTAGACTTTTTAACAAACAGACCACAGTTAGTGAGGATCCACAACCTCTCCTCCTCCACCATAACCCTCAGCACTGGCTCTCCTCAGGGATGTGTGTTGAGCCCCCTCCTGTTTACTCTGCTCACATATGATTGTGCAGCTACCCATCCAGGCTGTCACATTGTAAAGTTTGCAGATGATACAGCGGTGGTGGGATGCATCACAAACAATGATGAGTCCAGCTACAGGCAAGAGGTGGAACACCTGGAGAGCTGGTGTAAAGAGAATAACCTTCACATCAATGTGAAGAAGACAAAGGAGATGATTGTGGACTTCAGAAGGAACAAAAACATCTACACCCCCCTGAACATAAGAGGATCTGCGGTGGAAGTGGTCTCCAGCTACAAGTACTTGGGTGTACACATGAATGACAACCTCAGCTGGAGCAACAACACCACCAGCCTGATCAAGAAAGATCATCAGACTCTACTTCCTCAGACGGCTGAGGCGAGCTGGTCTGGGAAGCTCAGTCCTCACCTCCTTCTACAGGTGTGCAGTGGAGAGCATCCTGTGCTCGAGCATAAATGTGTGGCATGGAGGCTGCAGAAAGAAAAGCTTTGCAGAGAGTGGTGAAGGCTGCACAGAAATCTGTCGGAATCAGCCTCCCCACCATCACAGACATCTACACCTCCAGATGCAGGAAGAGGGCCACCTGCATCATGAAGGACCCCACTCACCCAGCACACACACTTTTTGCCCCACTCCCCTCAGGAAGGAGGTTAAGGAGCATTAAGTGTAGAACCACTAGACTGAGGAACAGCTTCTACCCTGAGGCTGTTAGACTCATGAATCTCTAACTAGAATAATCACTGTGAAAAACCATATCATGTTGCTGCTGATCGGTTTCATGTTGCTGCTGATCTGTTTCAATGTTGTGTTCATGCGTGCACATCTGCTCACAGACTCATGTTCATGTTTGTGGTGATGTTCAATGTTTTATGTTATGAGCGCTTAGTGTATATTTAGTTGATGTTTTTCTTAGTTCATATCTTAGATGTTATTACTGTTTTTCTTATACATTTTATTGTTGGATGTAACTGGGACCCCGTGTACATAATTTCGCTCCACCACATGTACCACATGAGGTGCGAATGACAATAAAGAAACTCTGACTCTGACTCTGAATTGTTTTTGTTTTAAAAAATTAATAAACTTTATAATAATAAAAATGTAATTCAATAAATGATCAAATATTAAAATAAATATTAAATGACTGCATGAGCTGAAATCTCGTAAGCATAATACCTTTGAATGAAATAGTCATTTTAAGAATAAAAAAAAGTCAGTGGCAAATAAGAAAAATTATACTTTTGAAGTGATTTTGTACTCTGCAAAGGTTTACCTGGGTTATAATTTTTTTTTTATTATATCTGACAACCCCTAATTTTAAACACTAAAATTAATAAGCAAGAATAAAAGGACATACAAATCAATAAAATAAAATTAGTTGGAAATTACCCTGCTCCTTCAAAAAGCTATTTGTCTTGATCCAGATGGTGCAGATTAGTCTTATTACCGTACAACTTGACTGCCTCATTAGAGAACACTGTACTGTATATTCTGACTGAGGGCGTGTAAACTGTGTACTCCTCGTTGCATCTAAATCTTACATTAAAAAAATGGGGGTGGGAGTTGCTGCTTAAGCAAAAAACATCAAATTACCAGTACTTTTATTTGCTTTAATCCCTTTAGTGGTATATTTTCTCAGCTTTTATATCTTCTTTTTTAATACCTTTTGGGTTATTTTAAAAATATCTCTCTTTTTCTGTCTATTTTTCTATTGCTGTCCAGGGCAACATAGTCAAAAAATACACTGAAGCCAATCCAAAGGCTTATGCTGACAGGATTCGACTGATATTAAAAATGTGTAAAGATGCAGTGCGGGATGCTGTGCACCTCAACTGTAGGATACTTGGTGTTGGTATGAAAACAGATGAAACTCCATCTTTAATGAAAACTAGCTGTGATGATGACACAGTTTTTACATTTAAATGTTTCAATCTGCTTCTCAGGAATTTCCACGGGTGGGCGTGTAAACCCACAAGAAGGTGTTGTCCTTCACTCCACGAAGCTGATCCAGGAGTGGTCCTCTGTGGACCTGAGGACACCCATCTCAGATGCTCTAGGCCTACCTGTCTGGGTCGACAACGATGGAAACTGCGCCGCGTTGGCTGAACGAAAGTTTGGTCATGGCAGAGGAGTGGAAAACTTTGTTACCGTCATTACGGGAACAGGTAAGGACATTTTTATTAAATCAGATTTTTTTGTTTTGTTTTTGTATTTTCTAGTTACAACTAGAAAGCAATATCACACAAAAAATGGGTACATTCAAATTGCAGAATTTTTTTTTTTAAATCTTTTTCACAGTAAGTAATCTGTAAACTTTTTGCTGCTATTTGTTTGTTGTGATCAGAAATTAAACATTTTGTCACAAAATCTTGTCAGTAATTAATCTCTACTTGTCAATATTTATTGTCCAGCTGCCAAAACTAATCACAAAGTTTAAAGTTGGTTTTTAAAAAAAGGCACGATTATTAAATGTAACTGTAATTGGACTTGCATTAGGTTTACTTTTGTAGTGCCATGTGATGTCAGATCATCGCATCAGAATGCAGCGATAACTATTTTATTTTATTTTAAAATTTGCTTCATTGTGTTTTTGTTGCTTGTACACATTCTTGATATGTAATTGTAGCTTAAATAGTATTTAGAGAATTTTTGTTTGTTTTTATTAATTCATCCAATCTTTAATTATGCGGATTATTCTCATTGAGCCACGAGGACTCACTTACAAGAGAAACTTGTTTTAAACAAAGAACACAAATGACAACAACAGACAGTCATATATATATATATATATATATATATATATATATATATATATATAT